GGAGTGTGACCTACTTCCAGTTATGACCATCATGCCAAACAATACAATCCGCGACAGGTCCTTTATCCTCCAATTTGTCCATAGACTTCAAAAAATCCACCTGACAGGCGAGATTTTCGCGATCGTGCTTATCTCTCTGGAAAAAAAAACTGATTCATTACAGAGCATTACAATAAGTAGGCTAAAGCAATGTAACTTACCACATTATCACTGAAACCTCCCACTGACTCCTCGTGTCCCAAGAGAAGACGAAGAGCATCAGCCTTGGCCAACTGGTGAGCTGAATCCCAAGCCTCCTTCTGCCAGTCTTCCTAGAACATGCCTCTTATACAAAGAAAATCAACTAGCATTACTCTGACAGACCTTAACTGTTTTACGCAGTGTCTTAGGATAAAGCTCGTAGATAGGTTTAACACCAAGATGCCACTTTCCAGTTGGATTTACCCAATCCTCAGGAATCTACAATCACTTTTGTCATTACTTGCAAATTTTCAGAACCGTAAGGATTACCTTCAACTTTCGTCCTGTCAGCCCTACAACTGAACCGTTCTGCGCTGATTTCACCACACTTGTGTCTACATCTCCAGCACCACTGCAGTCTATACAATCGACAATTTTACGAGCACCAAAACTGGTTCTCTATAAACAGAAGTTACATTTGTGCAAAAACCTGGAGAAGGGGCACCGCTATCAGAAGCAAATCAATGACAATTAGCAAATTTTCGAAAAGCTTCTCGAATCTCGTGCAAAATGTCAGCGTTTTACCCGCTTCCACAAAGCTCATACGTAATTCTTAGGTGCCAATTTCTAGCTGAGAAACGAAATATTTACCTCAAGGCACGGTAATGATGGATCTACTCCAGTGTCTAGAATCGCAATCAAAACGTTGCATCCATCAGCGTACTTGCCATGCTTTTTAACAAAATCGGGCTGAAACGAGGGGAAACTCAACTGTAGCTTCTGATAGACAAAGAAATGCACTACTCTTAACCTACATAACAAATATGATGCATCTCTACGCCCACGACGCCAAACTACCGAATTGATTCAAAGGTCATATGTGAATACAATATATTAATGACTTAAACACTAATCGCAAAGAATTTTGTTCAAAAACCATATCGAAATTGTTGGAAATTGCTTTGTTTAAGAAAATATGCAGACTCAAGGATACACATTCAATTTTGGGCTTTGAACTTGTGACTAGCATTTACGATACTTCAATTGAGGTTCACAATTATGGGAAACCTATATCAAATACGCAGATACCAGTCTACAGCGTATTTGAAGATGCTGCTAAAATGAACCAGTAACCCTCAACTTGAGCGCATGAAACCATTCATAACACAGAGATATACAGCATGTGCTGCATCATATA